CAGTACGGAAGCGTTCGGAATTGTAGTGAAGCGGATTCTACAAAAACAGAGTCTGAAGGATAGGAAAAGTGGTCTGAGGACGATGACAATGGTTCCAAAGGAAACGTCAGCGCTGGTTCCAGTTCCTGCTGGCTGTGACTTGCGGCCATTTCCACCAACGTTCGGTCAGGAAGCTTCAGCGAATGTTCGGTCCAGTAAGTGACAAGAGAGACCCCGTTAGGGTTCTCCAAAGGGAGAGGAGCGGCCGTGAGCGTCAATTGAAGTCCAAACGAGTAGGAATGACGGAAATGTTAGAACAAGCACGAACTGCTGTCGCGGGAGCGTCTATCTTCCTCCAACCAATGCAAACTCCTCGTCAACCAGCACTGGTACTTGGCTCGTGCCTGCTCGTCCCTGCGCTTTACTCGCTTCCTTTGCAGCCTGTAATCGTCGTGAAATCTATCCGTTTGCAACTGCGCGATAATCCAAATTGCCAACAAAAAAAACCGCTGGCGCAAAAGAAGGGCGAGGCCAAAAAGGCGGCGATGGGTTTAGGTGTAGACATAATCTCTCTCATTCCATATATGGATAGATGACTTGCTATAAAGATATAAATTGGTTTCACAAATATGAAGATCATTTTAGCGCGCAGAAGCCTTCCAAGCCCTTTTTTGCACGAGCCGTTCGGACGACGACGACGACGACGACGACGAGGAGGAGGAGGAGGAGGGGTAGGAGGATGACGACGACGACGATGGCGACGACGACAAAGCAGATGGCCATAGTTGAGCATGGGATTAGTATCAAAATGAATACTGTATGTGAAACGGGGATCGTCATAAACTACCGTAGCATGTGGTGCATTGCACACACCAGTCCATCACGGAAGCGTTTGTGAATTGCAACCGCAGGAGTTTGAAGAGCTCCAAAAGCAACTGTTGAATGGACAGGGATCCACATTCCATTATTCAATTCTCCACTAGCCTTGCGCATTGGAAAAACCTGACATTGACCACGCTATCATCTCACGCTTACATGAGCAAGATCACGTGCATGAAGGCGAAATGGACCTTTTGAACTTCCGAAACGGCTTTGGCTGGCGAGATCTCCTTTGCATTCAACTATAGAGTCCATCATGCCAGCAGCCAGGCCATTATCGCCTGCTGACAATGCCCAACCCGCTTTGCTTTTGACGCAAAAATCATACCCTTCAGCTGCCAATGCTGAAAAAGAAACTCCTTTGGAGAGAACTCTTTCCGTAGACCGAGAGCGATCTGTAGCTCTTGGAGGTAGGCCCAAACCTGAGAATGAGCCAGTTTCAAGCAAGTAAACTAACTCGGTCTTGTATTTTGTGCTCAGTAATATATATTACGGACCACTCTGAGTCTTTGTCGACTCTTCGCGAAAACGACACATCAATGGACATTCCAATTCCTCCTCTACGACGACGCCATACTTCCACCCTGACTCCCCTTCGCCTAGCCCATCGACCTTCTGAGTGTACCACACAACAAGCCGAAATTACCATAAATGGACTAGGAAGTCCCATAAGTCCATCCCTCGCTACTAGAAAACGGCGAAAAACTGGGGATTCGCCTCTTGCCGCACTTCATTCCGCATACGAAGCGTCATTTCTGCATGGTAAGTGCGGAGAAGTAGGAAAATGAGTCTTTTCTAAGTGGGGGAGACAAGACATTTGAGTGATTCCATCTTCAAGAATCGCAGCGAGAGCTGAGAGCTCATGCTTGTTCCGACGTTTTACAGAGAAGGAAGCCGACACGAATGCCCATTTTCTACTTGGGCACCGCCGGTCTCATTCCATCACAGATCTTCGATCGGAATCGCTGGATCGGCGACTCTTGCATCATGCTCTCCTGGACGGCAGTACATGTGATTCCAGTCTCACATCCATTGAATCTATTCTTCCCGAACACATGCAGTCAGAATCCTTCACCCTCGATAATTTAAACGAACACGACACATCCTCATTAGATATGGCGCATACCAATATCCCCGCCAATTGCACGAATCGTTCCTCCACAACTTCTGAAATTATGAATACGACGAATGAGCGCGTCTTGGAACCAGCTGACGTTGTTACGTGGAATGCAGTACAGCATGAGGATGGTCACCAGCTTTCGTCTGATTTTTCTTCCCCTAATGGTAGTCCCAAAAGGTCCCGTACTCCAACGGCAGTAGGAAATATATCGTCCAAGTTGGACGCCTTCAATGGGAAAGCAACTAGTGACCTGGGCAGTCCGTTACGCAAGAATCCAGGCGTTGTAAGCTCCTCAGAACGTTTGTCAAACGAGTCGGACGGCATAGGAAGTCTCTGGGGTTACTTTAAAGCCGAACTTTTTGGGACCGATTTTGATGAGAGCCCAGATGTAAAGAAGGAGAGAATTCAGGATTTCTTGAGTGTACCCTTCGAGCTCGAAAAGGTACGAAACTTGATGGTGCACCTCAGCCATTCTCAACTAGTTTTTTCAGCTTTCTCATCTTGTCAATCTTCTAGCTCATGTTTTTTGGGTATCTTATCTGCTTTGACTCATTCCTCCATATATTCACCATATTGCCCTTGCGGATTGTTTTTGCGCTGTGGACCATGTTCAAGGCGCTTATTTTCAGGTGCGCATCTTCTCCTCAGCTACATTTGAGGTAACATTGACTCAAATTATTTTGGTCAGGTCAACATACCTAAAATCGGCGCAAAAATGTGACTTGATGAAGGGCGCTCTGATTGGAATCTGTTGTTATATGCTTCAGCATTATGATGCATCACAGATATATCATTCCGTCCGAGGGCAGGCATTGATAAAGTTGTACGTCATATTCAATGTGCTTGAGGTGAGGATACCCGCGTTTATTGGTACATCATTTGAATATTGTGTCTCTAACAACCTACCTCGCGGCCGTTTAGATATGTGACAAACTGTGTAGCGCTTTTGGGCATGACATCCTTGATTCGCTATTTTCAAAGGCCACTGTCAAATACACATTAGCAAACCCTCACGGCGGCCAACGACAACTTGGGAGGGTGAAACATTTTCTTGTAGCATTATGCTATGTTTTCACGCACAGCATCGTGCTGTTCTACCAAGTCATGACTCTGAACGTCTCCATCAACTCGTACAATAATGCCTTGATGACATTATTATTGAGTAATCAATTTGTGGAGATCAAAGGAAGTGTGTTCAAAAGGTTCGAGAAAGAAAATCTCTTCCAGTTGAGCTGTGCAGGTGAGGTTGCGAAAGATGTTTACTCAGTTCCTCCATGAACCTGGTGGTTAACGACTGATATAGATATCGTTGAACGATTTCAACTCTCTGTATTTCTCTGCATCATCACGTTACGCAACTTTATCGAGCTCACTGGCGGTTTAAGTAATCTCGAATCTGCCATTTCATACTTTTACAATCTCTCCACATCCATGTTTGCACCGTCCAATGTGTTCCAGCCTGTCCTTTCCTTTCCCAGCGCATCCTCCCTTCTGTCGGGCGTGCGTTACATTTTGTCCACCTCCACTTACAAGTTGATCGAGACTCTTGCGACACCTGTTGTGGTAGTGTTTGGCACCGAGATCCTGGTGGATTGGCTGAAACATGCATTTATATCAAAGTTCAATCACATCAAGCCGGCCGTTTATGGGCGGTTTCGGGATAGTCTGTGTAGGGATTTGAGCGGAATGCGTGCAGCTGGTAGTAATGCCGGGAAGGAAGGTGGGAAGGAGGATGATCATGATATCGAGCACAACCGTCGGATGGTGGGTAACGAGTGGTCAATTCATCTTAAAATCCCTTGATATCTAACACTGCCCTTGCTTTCACAGACCTTTGTGGACCAATCGCCCGCAGTAGCGCGCCGAATTGGCTTTGTCTCCATTCCGCTTTCGTGCCTAGTTATTCGCGTGACACTCCAAACCATGCAAATGCTTTTGTACCTCCGGTCCACCTCGGACGATGCCGATCAATATTCTCATGACAAAGATCTGAGCAGTAGCATATCCAGACTAGTAAAAGCCTTTTTGGATGCTTGCAACCCATCTCCTCTTCCCAGTCCGGCCGAATGGTTCACGAAAGATGGTGTGCAGGGTTTGGGGAATGCGTTGTGGAGACTGGTTGGTGTAAGCATGGATCCGGCAGTGCAAAAGGAGTTTGCAAGGGTTATTAAGATGTTGGGAATGTGGGTTGGCATTTTGGGTGCTATCTATTTAAGGTGTGTGCGTTCTCACTGGCCTCGCGTGTTCAGCATTTGCGATAACGGTCATTTCTACATCTAGCCTTTTGTGCCTCAAATTAGTAGTCGGACTAACTATGCAGCGGGCGGCGCGTCGACGCGCAATGCAGTTGCATAAAGCGGGAGAGGAGCCTGTGTCGGATGGTTTCGAATCGCGACGAGTTTCTGCGCTTCCCTCAAAACAATCCAAAGGGCAACCTGATGGTTCCAAGGCATCTTCAATGGACGGGAAACTGGAGGAAAAGGGTGCCACCGGCGACAAACTGGATCGAATTGAAAGATTTACTATGGTCAAAAGCCGCATCGTTTAAGCGACATCCCCAAATGATCACGTCCCACCCATATCATATTTGGTAGACGGAGAATACAGAAGCCTCGCGCTCAATTATTTGTATCATTGTGTATATACATATCTATATTGGAAAATTTTGAGAAACTTTGCAATACAGTCCCTGCAACTTCCAGAAACTTACCGCGCACATACTATGCCCTACTGTGCTACGCCCAAATGTAAACTACAATCCAAAATCGTCATCATCCGAATCGTCTTCTCGTCGTCGATTGTACTGTGTCCAAGCATCTGTTAATCATGTGCCTGCAACGAACGACATAGACCAGACTTACGGTGATCTTTGTTTCTTTTTGGTTTTGTTCGTTAATTTGTTCCAGAAGGCCAATGAGTGTTGATTCATTGACCTTGGCTCTGATCTGACCGGTTTGGGCCTATGAAATATCGTCGATGAATGTTCGCGTCATGGGTCATATCCAGGACAAACCCAGCAGAGATTTACCATTCGAATTAAAAGATCTTCTACAGCACGGGCCTTTTCTGCCTTTACAATCTTGATGCGGGCGACTTCAGGACAAAGGTTAGTCAAGGAGATATGATGCGGCCAAGATAAATCCACTCTTACGTCGTTCCCGAGCGTCATTGTCCAGGATTTGGTAAAGCTACGATAGAAATTCAGTCATAATGCTAGGTTCAGAGATGGTCCATCTCACTCCATTGTTGGGTGAACCTACCATATTCCTTCGCATCTCCTCCATTTGGCTGCAACACGTTCGTTTATTAATCAGGATGATATGGTCAGAGAGTGAATGACTTACCTCTTCTTTTCAGCTTCTTCAGCAGAATTACCGGGTGGGCCACCTGCTGCCATGCCTGCGGGCAGTCCCATTGAACCCGCTGATCCCTACAAGAGGCACGATTAATCTCAGAGATCAGTAATGCAATCCTGAGATCGCTGCATTGGAAGAACGCCAAGAAGAGACCTACCCCCTGAGCCGCACGCATTTCGGCCATACGCCTCGCTCGGATAGCTTGTAGCTCGTCGTCCGCCATAGCTGTTTGTTAGGTCAAGATGAAAGATTTACCAATGTCGTTGCGATACCTTTGCTCCCGCCCCACGGCACGATCACAAACCACGTGATACACCAACTAGCCAAAACAACATGGCAAATATCCATCCGAAACGATGATATCTGCCATTATCCTACTGGCAAATGGATCACCTTCCTGTCCTTACTCCCTTTGTTATTCCATATCTCAGTTGCTGCTGTCGCTTTTAACATTAGCCGCAAAGCCAATGTAATAGCCCTCATTACGTAAGCGGTCGGACATGATCAGATCACATCCAAGACGTTTTCAGCAAGCAACGACAACTACCCGAATGAGCCATCATGTCAAACCGAACATACAATCAGTACTGGGCAGAAGCCAATAAACAGCTGGCTGATCAACTAGAGTATGAGTCGCCCAAAGATCCCAACCTGCTCCCCAAGGACCGGGAAGCCGCCTTCCAGCATTTGGCGTTGCTATATGTCAAGTATATCCAGATCTTTCGAAGACTGGAGGTATGCAAGAACAGAAAAGATATTATATTTTTCAGAGAGGGAGTATCAAGTTGAACCTTTTATAGGAAGCATACGACCAAATCGTACATCCTCAGAAACGACGATTGATGAAAGATGTTGTCCTTGCGACAATGGGAAGAATACTAGAGTTGAAGCATGTATGAGCCTCGTAGAATGAGTATTGAACGCAAAGATTTCGATTTATAGCTAATTCACTGGCTGCAGAAAATGGTGGAATTGGAGCTGACAGACTTTTTCAACTTTGGAGACATTCTGCTGGATCTAAAGCTAACTCCTGACGATCTGCGAATCCCAGTTCCACGCTGTTTTGTGGAAGAGCGGGGTACAGATATCGAGCAGCACAAAACATTGTTGGTGAGTGCTCCTCGACCTTTGGACGCAAACCGTATGCGGTATGATGAACCAGTCTTCTCGTCCTAGGACGGCCTCGGTGCTAAAGAGTTTGGCTTTGGAGAAGCTGTACCTCCGTTCCCACCTCTCAAAATATCAGAGGCAATCCGCATTATACAGATCAACGAGCGAGGGCGACAGGGGAGACTGCGGGCAAAGTATATGCGAGACATCAAGTATGACATTTTGTGGTGTTGGCTATATGCTGCAAGCAAGATCTGATCGGACTGTCATATAGGCTTCAGGCTCAACGTGAAAAGGAGCTTGATCAAAATGAGGAGGAGATGGAAGTAAATACGGCAGCTGTACGAATTCAAAAAGTGTGGGTGCCGACAGTGACGACAGACCAGTCGTTACGGTCCAATTTGATCTGATACCCTTTCTTCCATAGGTACAAAGGATACAAGGCACGCCAATTCTACAAGAAGCAAATGCATGAGGAAATGATCTTCTTGGGAATGGCAAACATCATGAAAGACCCAAAAAATAATCCAATGGTTAGAGCCGAAAACAACCGGAATCGCCGAAAAGTCGTTCAGCTGCAACATGAAGAAGAATACCAGCAGGCTCTTGTTAATACCAGAGAAAAGTGAGTAGTTACAGGATGCACTCTCCTTTGTTCTATATCAGCTTACACTGGATCGCAACAGAATCATGAGGGTGGAAGGACCAGATATGAAGGAAGCCTTGCAGGACAGCTTCCGACAATGGTACATGGAATACAAGAGGATCAACAGCAAATTTCCCGACTTCCCCGCAGACAAAGTTTGGCAAGAGCCTGGATTCAAGTTTGAGCTAACGCCTGAGGGACAAATACCTCCGGCTGCTGGAGAAGCTGATGGGTCAGGGGCGGGTGAATCGAAGCCTAGTACGGCAGCATCAGCTACGAAAGGTGGGAAGGGAGGAAAGGGAGGCAAAGGAGCAAAGGGCAAGGACGCTGGAAAAGGTGGAAAGGACGCCAAAAAAGGAGCAGCGGGTAAGAAGGGGGGAAAACAGGAGGTATGTTCAACATGAGTATTCGACTACCTCAGCATATGACGAATGCATGCAAGTAGGAAACGGAAGATCCAAACAAATTCAAGTTTGATGACTCCCCCTTCCTCACTAGCATAAATACCGAGTATGTTACAGTGTGCATGAACCGATATCTTTGGTTCGTTATTTAACTCTTCTTAGACGATCAACTTACGGGGAAAAGTGGCTACGAAAGGACGAAACCGAAAATTTCGCTCAAAAGCACGATCAGGAAATTGTTAAAAATGAGAAACGGAGAGAGGTCGAAGCTGAGGTACCACTCTAACGATCGCCTGTACGCAGATTCCGTTTCATTTAGTGACTGCTCTCTGCTCAATGCACCAAGATCAAGGGCCAGGTCATGGAAATCTTGAAAGAAGAGCTCAAAAACTTGAAAATGGCCGTTGATCGGGAGAAGGCTGGCAAAAGTCGAAAGGGAAAAAAGGGTAAAAAGGGCGGAAAAGGTAACATCTGCACATGTTTGTATTCAAGCTTCTTGAATGTTGATCAAAGTCCTGCATTTTGAAGGCAAGAAAGGCAAGAAGGGCGGAAAGAAAGGAGGCAAAGGAAAGGTACGAGTAGGTGTCTCTTTGTCATCGTAACGGATTGTAATGACAGCATAGGCCTACAGGGGGGAAAGAAGGGTAAGAAGGAGAAAGACCTGACAGCCAACCGAACCATGGAATCTTTAGTCGAAGAACTTATCCAGGCCGGAATTCTACAAAAGGTAAGGCACACATATGCTGTTTTCCATTATCATCATTTGGCTAACAATCCCAAAAAAGTACCCATCGGTGTCCATGGAGGATTTCAAAGGCGAGTTTGACTTGCTAGCATCAAGCTCAACAAAGACTCCTGTTATCAAGCCAACACTTGGAGAATTGCAACGGGTACGAGCATTGCTTTTGTACAGTGGTGCGGCTCTTGGTGTTGATTCTGGTGCGCTCCGAGTATTAGGCGGTGACAGAATATTGTGTACTCCCACTGGGGTTCTCGGAGCCGATGCAAGTTCCAGCTGTATCGAGTGTATTGCTTTTCGGACCAAAAGGTATGACGTTGTCCACACGAAAATACAATCCCAAAAACATATCAAATGAAGTAATCGCAAACACAGGTGCCGGTAAATCAATGCTCGTCAACGCTGTTGCGTCGGAACTGGGTGCATGGCTCTTCAACCTTACCCCCCGCAACACAGCTGGACAATACGTCGGCAAATCTAACGTTGCCAAAATGGTCCACATGGTCTTCAAAGTAGCCAAAGCCCATCCACCATCCATCGTGTACATTGACAATGTCGAAATGATTTTTGCCAAAAAGGTGCCAAAAGACGATACGTCCGATCCAAAGCGAATTAAAAAGGACCTTTTGAAAGCTGTCAAGGGGCTTAAACCTGTCGATAGGGTCATGGTAATGGGAACGAGTAACAAACCCTGGGATGGGGATGTGAAGGCTATGATGCCTGTGTTTGGGAAGCAATTACCAGTCCCAGCTCCGGATTACCCTTCGCGGAATGCGCTATGGACATATTTTATTGGAAGAAGAATTCCAGCGGCTGTAAAGGATATTGATATAAGTCTGTTGACGAGAATGAGCGATGGGCTCTCGACGGGACAGATTGCTTTGGCTTGTGAGAGAGCCTTGACTGATCGACGATTGAAGTTGGTTAGTGGTGTTGGTTTCTCTGGGTTTTACCGCGGACGAGAGTCATTTAACAGCTTCCTGTGTCCATCTAGTTACGATTGAGACCATTCACAACCAATGAACTTGTCGAACAGATTCTAAATATGGCTCCTTTTGACAAGAATGACGATAAACCATACTGGGTAAAGATGAAGCAAGCCCTGTTGACACTACATATTGAGTACTCTAACCGCATCCATTTAGGATTTTTACGAAAAAATACCATTGGTTAAGAAACGCACCGCTATGCTCGCGGCGCCACTGGATGACGAAGGGGACAAGGGCAAGAAAAAAGGTGGTGGAAAAGATGCGAAGAAGAAGAAAAAGTAGTTTCAAGTTTTTTGATTATATTTAATCATACGAAGTTTTGTGTTAAAGCGGGGTATCAAATCTACTGGCTTCCTCATGAGGTGTTTGATTCTGTGTGGTTGGTGTATCTCTTGAACGATGCGGATGATGGAACCGCATTGCCACATCGAATAAATTCAGAATATTCATTCCCTATCAGATAGAGATAGAGACATAAGCACAATGTCGAACCGGAAACATGTTGTCTGCCAAAGAATGAATTGAAAGTAGTACGTACCCCTATTTCCCTACGATGCACGTTGAATCTTCCACCCCATGGCATATTAATACCTGTAACAAGACAATGGACGTGAGGAACATTACAATCACCGTGGTTCTCTTGACGGACACACTATACCCTGTTCAGCCCAAATATCCTTCCTCTTTGGTGGGGGAACATCCCCAGGCATGGGCATAAATTCTGCAGGCAAATGTACGTCCGGATCGGATTCTACCGTTGGTGAATCCTTCTCCGGTCTCAATAAGTGGTATTGGGCCAGTCTTTCTTCGTTAGCGTTCATTTCGATGCTTCGGAATTTTTGTTGGATGGTGCTTCGTTTTTGGAGTTTGGCTTCAGTAAACCACCGAAGGCGGTCCATGAACTATGTGTTGTTTTCGAGTTAGAGAATATCGAAAGAGATGGTGTGCTTTTTCCGGTGGGCATATCAACAGCTACTTACCGACATGGAAAACGGGGGGCTGGTGAACACAGGCCTGTGTCTCGGCTGTTGTTCACATTCAATGACAAGGTATAAGCGAATATCTACAGGCAATCACAGAGCAAGTCCAATGAACTACAAACCGGTAAGACCCTCTTTTGTACCAAATGTATTGGACTCCGGATGGGACTCTTCCTGTCTCTCCACCTCTGCCGACTCTTCTTTCGACTCCGCCTCCGTCTTGTGCTCTTTGTTCGCGGTCTGTCAGGCCTGGGCAAGTCCGTATCCACCTCGGAGGTTACATCCGATGTATCTTCTTTTCCTGTATGCGGCTTGTCCGGTGGAGTACCTTCCTTGGCTTGCTTCATATATTCTTGTGCAATACGCTTGACTCGCTCTTGGAGGACATCAATTCGTCGTTCGTAGTCGCCGCAGGTTTCTTCGTGAGCTGCTTCTGTCTCAGTCATGTGGTTCTCAAGCTGTTGAATGCGCTCTCTGTTACGATAACGTGGGACCGTGACATGAGTTTACTACCAGCAAATGCAAGAAAATGGCTAGACATACTCGTATTCGGATTGAAGGAGTTGCATTTGTTGGGCGTGCAGAAGGGTAAGTTCCATGACATCTTGGAGAGTGTACGTTTCTTTATGAATGCTTGCTTTCGTTGACGGATCTTGATCAATTAGGTTTCTGATTCGGAAACATGTTGAGCTCGGGCAAACGAAAGCTGAAGTCAGAGTGCCAATTCAGCATACCCGTCAGCAGGTATTTTCATGGGATGCTCGTCAATGAACGAATTAATGATTTCCTTCATCTCCGCTTCACCTATGCTATCAAGGTACTAAAACCAGAATACGTGAATGAAATGCATGATTCCTCCCAGCATCACAAGACCGTACCCGTAAGCTAAATGTAGACGCTTCAGTGTCCTCTCTACGTTCTTCCGACGGCGAATCAAAGCCGGCGTTGCGGAATGCCCCACTACCATGCGGAACCGGACCGCCTGAATGGATCTTCTCTCTCCTTCCAATAGCAGCACCCGGCAATGGCCGTCGTAACTTGGGATCCTTCCCCAAAGCAAACAGTACGCCAGAACTATTTGATCGCTTCAATACCCTCTGTTTCGATTCTTCTTCCTCGTTTTCCATCTTGCTAAATTGACGCAGATCAAGCATAGACCATGATGCACGGAGGTTTGGAACTTTCGCTGAACGGGATATGATTGTTCCTGAGTGAGAGGAAATATAGACGGGTTGAGCGGGTTTTGGAACCGGACGTCGGTGGAAGTGTCCGAGGAGGGCGATGAGGTTAGGATGCTGCATCTCCAGGATGCTTTGAAATTGCTTGACCAAGTCCTTTGCTTTGCGTCTCCAGGTGGGCGTATCTTGTGTTATGTATTCACGAATAGAAGCTATTTTATGCAGGCCATAGGTTAGAAACAAAGTAGAGCTTTTTAGCAAAAACATGCCATTGATATATATACCGCGCAATTGACTTTTCGATATACTACTATTTAGAGAGGTTCCAGATGCTGTCGTGGTTGTCCACGGACGGGACATTACATCTGTTGCAGGGGTTTGTGGGAACGACATTCCAGTGTTGGCCGTGTCTGGAGGTTCAGTAGCGGATTCTTCCGGACTAGTGATAAACATGAATAAGGGTGCGACTGAGACATTTCCGACCAGGACTCTTACACTTCCACAGTGACAAATTGCTCTCCGTAATCTGGAAAAAGGTCCTGTATTGCTTTCGTTAGGCAAGGATTCTACGATCCAAATCATAGTCGCATAAACAAACCATCAGCCGCTTTGTAACTCTCTCCCACAATGCCACCCGCTTTTCGCTCCGGATGCGTTCCACCTGCCATTCAATCAGTATGATGCTCAACGACTGTAGCTAATATTGACGTTGGAGATCGTACCTGTAATTGCATTTGCTCCATTTTGCGAATTGCGACATTGATAATGTGGCATTGTCTAAACGCCCAACAGGTTTGAGTCGATCCGACCCATGCCAGCTTGTCAACGGTAAATGTCATGTCACCTTTGGTAGTCTTTTTCCAATTCAACCAGAGCATATCGCTTGTCCAGCCATGGTCGAGAGTAGACTCGTACTTGCTTGACCAACTCAAACACCGGTTCATGGAGCTCTGACTTACTGACGTGATCTACGTTCTTCAGATCCCTCATTCAACAACATATTTAGGAAAATAACAACATACCTGCGAAACAATCTTGCAAACAGTAAGGTCAGCTGTAGTTTGATATTGGAAGGCACAGTCTGTCTCAAAAAATCGTCCTTCCAAATCGTCATTTCCTCCAGCGCCGTCTCAAATTCACCCAGCACCGTCAGCATCTCGTTACACAGTTCATCAAACTCGGTGTAAACGTCTCGGTCGTACTCATCAGGAAGAACGCCGAGGACTTTTCCGGGGTGAAGCACAGATGCGCCGTACTCCCGGATGTCGTCAATAGAAGAATCAACAGTGAGTTGCTCATGTTGGTGTGTATGGGATTGGTGGAGATCGGCTGTTTCGTCTCCGCTCCAGAGAGATGTAGGTGTTTTTCGAGTGGTGATGGGATCAGAGGTATCATCGGGGGCAAGTGAGCGAACGGCGATGGAACCGGCACGGGAACGGGTAGTGTCCCAGCGCCCTACGAGGTCACTGCTGCGACGGGGACGGTCAGTTCGGCCGTCTGAGGTTACCTTTTGGAGAACGGTAAGTGCATCGTAGCGGCCAGGTCGTTTAGATGCTGCTAAATAATGATACATGTTGCTCAGAAAGCACACTTCGCCCACACAGCTCCACTAATGCGTCCTACCTCCAACGCCCCCAGGCAACACACCCGCCTCATCCATATCATCATCCGACGCATTTTCACTGTCAATTTTTTTTTCTCTATGCGCCTCGACAACAGCAGCCATGGCAGCAGGATCCAGTTGAGTACCCATGGAGCTTATCCGTCTCGCTCGCGTATTGGCCATCACACCGACAAGGCTCATCCGACGGCTCGCGGTTGAGACCATCCCACCAACTTTGGGATCTCTGTAGGATGAATCGTCCATCACTGTCGTTAATCTACTGTATACATAAGTAGCCAAAATCCAGGAAAGTGTTCTCGCATTGTCGATCATCTGGATCTGGCGCTTACGTAATACATCGCCTAATCCACCCAGACGGGGTCGATCTTGGACTGGATACTCCTTGATGTCTGCCACAACCGCATCATCGCCCTCGCAGCGCACCACAGGCCGAACACCACCTACCAGCGCCGGTGCCGATCGCAGATCGACGACTCGACCGAGCAGCAGTCGAACAAAGTCTGCTGGAAAGCATAAGAAGGGCGGGACACCAGGTGGAGGTGGGATTGGTCTCGGGGAGGAAGTCAAAAAGGAGGTAGGTGCGGGATACGTTTTGCTGGTTTGAAGCGAAAGTGTTTATAATGTTCCTTTAGGATGCGACTCCGACTTCGGTTCCCCTCACATGGACGCTTCTGACGCAGGAGGATGTCGCAGAGCTCAAAGCCTACCAAACTCCTGACGATATTGTCAGGTAAGATCTTCAGAGGTTTCTAATGTTTGGTATAGGGTACTGACGTTATTCACAAGCCGATTTGCCAAAATCCTCGGCATGGACACATCATACAAGGAAGAGCTCTTGAACGCCATCGTGGTCAACTTTTGCGTTGGGAACTTTCTGTGGGTTCCGCTGAATTATGCTATTTTTCTACTCCTTTTCATATATTTTATAGATTTGCCCGAGATGCACACTTCTCTGAGGCCGAAATCGGTGCCTTTTGCGCCATCATGAAGACACTATTGGATCAATCTCTCGGTATGGATGCGGATCTCATTCATGAGAATCGAATATAAACCCTTATTTTCTCTACAGAAAAGGCATGGCCTCTTGAGACGGCTTTACATCAGTTTGGGGATCTTCTCATGTCACATGCGGGTGCGGGCGGGGAAGAAAAGAGTGGATGGGATGTATTTCGACCAGAGTCTGTTGTAAAGATTGTCGATTATGGGGTTTCCAGGTACGATGCTTTCTTGCGTAGCATTTTGCATTTATAGTAAGCTCCTATTCTGTCAGTTTTTTCCAGCATTACCGCCTCTTTTGCCACGTTTTAACCACCGAACAAGAAAAGCAAGATACGGAGCTCCTTCTCCACCTTGATGAGCCTCCATGCGCCGTTCAGGTCTCAGCCAAGAGATCTCAATCCACCGTGCAACTAAAGAAATCTCAACCCGACCTTCTTGTCAAGAAATCACAACTCGACCTCGTACAAGATGCTGACGACGCACCCGTAGCAGTATTATGGCCCCCTCCACTCGCTGAAGCTGTTCCGCTCCATGTGTGGGAGAAGGAAGAGGCGATTAGGAAGGAGGAAGAGGAGAGGAGACGGGTTGAGGAGGAGAGATTGAGGGAGGAGGAACGGAAAGCTGGTAATGTCTAAACACTCTAACGTGTGCGTAGCGTTCATGCTGATGATGGATGTGGTTGCCTTCGTTTTTAGCGGAAAACCCATTCGAAGTTCTCTCCGCCGACGCCATCAAACAGATTGCATCTGAGACAGTCACAATGCTTTTGTCCGCCGTCGCAGGGGACGTGGAAAAGGCCCTAGAAGACCAGCGAACAAGGTTTTTGGATAAAATAATAAAGTAAACATGAGAAGCGGTTGAAAAACAAATTATCGAGACCTCCTACACATACTTGAAATTATGATAAACTATTTTACATTTTCCCTTCCACTCCAATCTAGGCTCATTATTGCACATTATACAACACAACTCATCATTACGCAAAAGTAAATAGCAGACAAACTACATTAGCAATAATATAAAGTAACGCGCTCTATCGGTCCTTTTTAAAGTTGAACAGGTTTGCCATGGAGGGTTTTTGGTTAAGGCGGGGGAGGGGAGTTGGTTTTGGGGGTTTGGGGGGAAGAGTTGGTAGCTGTTGTGATTGTTCTTGTTGGGATTGCGGTTGTGGTTGTGGTTGTTGAGTATCCTATAAAGGAAACGTCAATAAATAAAGCCGACAAAAACTCAACGAAACAAGAGCGAAATACATACCTGAACTTGCTGTATTTCCCCACTCTTCAATTTCTCAACAGCAGCCTTGAGTCTCGCCAGTTCGAGTTTAATTTCCTGTTTGGGCGTCAACGCAACCCGCTATTCCAAACAATGAGCTTTTACGCATAACATCACCAAAGGAAACACAAGACAATCACAAACCTGATCCTCCATCTCAGGTCTAGCCATCTGCATTGAAAACGCTTCCATAGCCGCATTCCTCTCCAAGCTCTTTTGTGAAGGCTCTGCAAAAGACACGGGTTCCACCGTCCGTGGAGCTAGCGATGACATGGACCGGATGCGCTCGTACCGGCCAAACCGATGCAGAAGCGTCGTGAAGCCATTGTAGGGCTTGGTGGAGGAGTAGATGCACGGGGGAAGGTCAATGTCCGTGTTGGGCATCGTTGGTTCAGTTGACCTCGCAAGTTGAGAAATGGACACCAAAGGAAAAGGGGGGAAGGAAGGAGGAAGTTGGGCGGGGTTTATTGGGCTAAGCTCATGTGACAGGATGAGGTAAGCAATCGGCCGTTTGTTTTGCTGGGCGACAAATAAACAAATAAACTATCAAGCATTTGGACATTCTTTTTTAGCGCCATTATCGGTATTTATATCGTGAGGGAGGAAGCAAATGGCCCCACTGCATCATGTCAAATCCCTGGTAACTTGTAGCTTGTCGTCATCACAAAAGAGGCAACCTTCTGCGTTGGAACAACAATGTCAGCCACGGCCATATCAACATTAACAAACCACAAACAAAAAAGAAGCCAATATCCAAGGATAAACAAAGAGTTACGACACCATACTCCACACACCAAAAGCAATTTATATAAACATACAAGACACTTTTATGCACAGAATGTACAAAGAAACCTAAAATATTTATACTACAGGGGGAAATGTCCAGCATTCACTGCTCAACGTTCCCGAGAGATGTATGAGAAGAAATTTTCGGATTCGGAAATCTCACTCAATGCTCCTAGCGAGTGGGCTGAGCCAGTTGGCGGGGATTTGTGTGCAGGGATGGTATTGGAGCGCGCGAGTTTGGGAATGAGAGTCTGTGGTGTTTTGGTAGAAGTCGTGCGAGTCACGGCTCTGCTTTCGGGGACGTCGGCGGATGGACCCTTGGATTGAGCAGGAGAGAGAGATGTTGATGGGTTAGGCTTGACATTCGGGGGTTGGCGGTTGCGCTCGGATGGAGCAGGAGTAAGAGATGTTGGTGGATTGGGATTGACATTGGGGGTTTGGCGGTTGAGAGTATTGGGGCGCGATGTGATGATCGGGCGGACACTGGGTAGAGGGGGGATCGTGTCGGCGCGTTTAAGAGAATTGGACGCAGTGGCGGTGTGGGAGGGACGGTTCAGGCTGTCAGATGAGGATTTGACACTCAACGTCCGATGTAAAGAGGGGAATTGTCTCTTGTCAAGCGATTTGCTAATCCAATTTTTAGGCTCGGTCTTCAGCGTTTTATTGTTCCCGTATGCAGCGGTGGGAAACGGCGGCGCAGGGACAAGTGTAGCAGCCAAATACGAGAATTCTGGCCGCGTCGTGGTCGGTCGTGAGATGTTTGCTACGAGTTCGCTTAGGTCGTCAATGTCGAGAGCGATGCTTGGTACGGATTCTCGGAGGTGATCGGGGGAGTTACTTTGATGGGGTGGGTTATTTGAGATTGGGGAAGGGGGTTTTGTGGAGGAATCTTCTGCAGGGGAGGTGGCACTCGAGGCGGTTCGCCTGCGTTTGGCCATTCGGATTCCAACGACGATACCAATACCGCTGATGGCGGCAAGGGATCCCCCTACAACTCCCAATATTGTCGTATTTGGCCCCGAATCGGAATCTTGGTCCGGTATCCCCGGCATAGAACTATTCTCTGTATTGGGTGCGATGGTCGGTCGCCCGTCATTATCATCGTTCGGATCTTCGGGGCTTTGCGAGCCTCTGGATTGGCCGTCATGATATTTCACTGCGGCTGCAGATTGCGAGCGGCGGCAGTTTGCGGACGATGAACGAATGCGTTCTGTACAGCCTAGGCCCGCTCCCTGATATGGTAGGATAGGAGAGGAATCCCCATGACATGGTGGTAGAACCTTTTTGGGACAATCAGTGCCGTGCATGCAAAGGAAACCGAACGACATCACTTACCCCTTCTGGGCAATGCACTCCCCCCACGCACGACGATGAACACTCAGAAGGAGATACCGGTAAACTATTTGCACCGTTATATAACAGCCCACTAAGCCCAGCCAAAGGCCAAAAGATGCTAAATCGCATAACTGGAATAATCAATAGGACGTACTCATTGCATGAAATCTGGGGAAATCTTGCTCGTCCTTACCGGTTTTGAACCTCTTCCTTACCCAACGACGTGGTTGGGTCATCGGAAAGTGGAAACAGTAACTCCAACCAGGCGGTGAAACCGGACCTTGCACTGCCTGCACTTGGCGGCACAGTCTGGCACAGCCATGACAATTGACGCGGGACTAAGCCCATCTGGTCTCAAGGCGCTGGACTCGGTTTTCGTTTCAAGCGCAGGCGCTGACTCCATTTGTAGCTTGTTTTGGTGGGTTTTTGGTGGTGATGGTTATTGTTTTTCTTTGTAGACCATCTGTGTTCCCTTGATTAAACTTTGCAGATGATTATGGTGCCATACGTCGCAAGACCTTGTGGGTTTGTGGTCCTTTGCAAGACTGGTAGCATTTTGGTCGGTGGTAAGGTTACGCTCCTTGTAAGACAAGTCCACATAGAGCGTGAGCAAGGAATCGTTCCAAGAAGAGCCATTTGGAATTTGGGTCGCGATCCCAGCGTCTCAAGGAGTGCATGATTTCTTTAGAAAAATCTTGCGTGAGTATTGGTTCCGCATGCCTGTCCACTGGGTTGCCAAAGTGTGATGATTACAATCGGAAAGGCCATCTTTGAAGAAAACACGGTTACATGGGCACGGCCATCGATCGTCACAGTCGAGTATAACGGCTCATGATCGCGACTATGGAATCGGAAACCTCAAAGTGTGGCAAGAAAGAGTTGGGTTGGTGCGCATTATTATGAGTGGGAAACCTCCACTCTCAGATATATTTGCAAGCGTTGAATGGTCCCGACAGTCGGTCTGGTTGGCACAAGTACTCTCCAATGTTTGGGATTCAGTCTCAGAATAGCAATGGAACATTACCTCTAGAGTCCTCTTAAACTTTCAACCTCTTAACCTTTGCTTGGAATGTGATTGAAAGGTGTTTTGTCAAGGCTGTTGTCAAAGGATGTGGCTGTTGGAACGATCGTTGCAGGTAAGTGATTAAGAATTCCTGGCAGGTCACAAGTGATAGATTCAGGCATCGTTGATAGCATATCGCTGAAGGCAACCTGAAGGCGATATGAGTGGGACGTATGGCCAGGCTAGGGAATGAACGGCACGGGATGAGGACGACGGTGAATGGTTTCTGCATCCCAGCAGTCATTGAACTTTTTGTGCAGATGCGAGGGCCATCATACAAAGTTACCTCCCCAATCTGGCATGCCCATCCGAATTAAACAACATACACTTTATGAAGACAAGATTGCGTTTGCATCTTTCTAATCGTCATAAGACTGCACAGTCAGAGAACACTAAACAAAGGAATGGATATATGCTGGCTCGCAAAGTATTGCTTATACGAAGACGGCATGTTAGGCGGATTTCTGATTTCTTCCTTGACGGAAATAACAGCAATTCATGCGCATTGGATTGAAAAATACGCCTTTCATCCTACACACATATCAACAAAATCAATGGCTGCAGCTATTATCTTGATTGCCACCTGTCCGCATCGCTCCATGTGCGTGTGCCTTTTAATCCACGCATGCATCAACACAATCTTTATTCCAATATCGCAGACTGCGGGCAGCTGATTTCCAATATCTTTGATTGCTAAAGGTGCGCAGTCGTTCGATCGGACGAGGATTTCGAATGCATCACGTGACCATGTGTTGCCATCACAACAAACCTCTGGATGTTGGGCACTGAAGCGTGCAGACGACGACGTACACACCAACGTTCACATCAGTAGTCTTTTCATCATGGCTGGTAAGTGATATGCTGGACAGCAGAGTATGTATGTATTCCATGGACCGCGTACTAAACGCATCGTTCATCAGATCACCTTGCCTCGATCTACGGCACTGAAAAGGACAAGGTCAACTGCTCCTTTTATTTCAAAATTGGGGCCTGCCGGCATGGTGACCGGTGTTCCCGCAAGCACGTCAAACCCACCTTTTCCCAAACGGTTCTATTATCGAACGTGTATCAGAATCCTGCGCACGAGGCAAATTGTGCTTTGACAGAGCCGGATCTGCAGGAGCATTTTGATGCGTTTTTTGAGGATGTATTTGTAGAGTTGGCAAAGTATGGGGAGATTGAGGAGATGAATGTTTGTGATAATGTCGGGGATCATCTTGTTGGAAGTAAGTATTGAGATGCGATTGCAGAACGTACTCGGCCAACACATTCAAGTGTCATGATTGCTAACTCTGATTCTCTTGTAGACGTGTATGTAAGATACAAATATGAGGAAGATGCAGGGAAGGCTGTGGAGGAGCTCAATAATCGATTTTACGCTGGACGTCCGCTTTACGCCGAGTTGTCTCCTGTTACTGATTTTGGGGAAGGTAGGCCGGCGGTTAACTTGCAATTCGAATATCTTTTACTCTTTTCTTTACTCTTTTCTTACTTTATTCTTTCTCTACGCAAGCCTGTTGTCGACAGTATGAAAATGCAGAGTGCACACGCGGAGGCTTTTGCAATTTCATGCACCTCAAACTCGTGTCGCGCCCACTCGAAAAGGAACTATTTGCTGCACAAGAAAAATCTCTGTATATGATGAAAAAGGAACGACGCAGGGATCGATCGCGGTCTCGGGATCGGAGACGGTCGCGATCTCGGAGTGGAAGTCGACATTCCAAACGGCGGGTCAAGCGAGACTATGATGCGAAGCGAGATTACGATGATGGGTATTAATGGAGCGCATGTGCAAAGATGGCTGACGAATGATGATGGGGACTAGGGATGAGAGAATAAGCAGGAGTATGCAATTCCTAGTAGAATGATTTGGGAAAGTGTTCCTGTCATGGAGATTGTATATGCGATGGTGTTGGTTACGAGTGGAACAATAAATTGTGTGTGTTTCCAGCGAAATTGAGTAGCATTTTCATCTACCCAAAATGCTTATATGTGTGTGTGTGCGAACATCAACGCTGTGTGTGCCAAACTTTCAATGCTGTGTGAGTCCCTTATCATTTGCAATCCTGATCCTTTGCAGATCTTCCCCTTCGTTATCCAGCAACAAACAACCCAATGCATTGGGGAAGATCACACTCGCTCACGTGAAGAGTGTCACGTGATATTTGATGGCTGCCCTACACGTGACCATATCTCCAATCAGATTTGATCTCTTGTTCCTATTGGAGGGCTTTCGGAGGGTTCGGAAGGCGTTTCCGACCAAAGGAACTTGCAGCCAATCATGTTTATCAATGGAGTACTGCATGGCACAGTCACAATAAATGTCCATATATGGTGATATGACAGTCATGACAAAGCGCATCGGAAGAAGGCCAGCAGTCGGAATTTCTTGTCGTCTCGTCGTTTTGTTGCGGTTTGCGGAGGATTTGGGAAGGATTGTGTGGGATTATTTAAAGGACAAGCGAAATATGTCTTGCCCGCAACTTGTTCGTAGGACTGCAAACATGTGGACGTCGCTCATCAACCTGCCAAGGACAGCTGCACTAACTTCCTGTCGTCGTCCACGTCGGGCACTGTCAATTGCACAACGGCACTCTTGCTCTTGTCGAAACCACTCGACTACTCTCCCGCTGAACGCTTCTCTCGCTGTTCACCCATGCCATGCTTCCGCTGGTTTTGCTCATAATATTCCCTATCCTCATCCACAACCTTTTATACCTCCACCGCTCCCTCGTCAAGAACAGCAACAACAACAACAACAACAAGGTGAAGAACAGCACGAAAAGGAACAATCGACAACCTTTTACCGAAGAGAACTCCCACCGCATCTCCATTCCTTCACTTCTCCTGCCGGAAGAGCACTCTTTAAAGAATGCGTGCAGGCCGGACAGGCGGAAATCTACTTTTCACTTTCGGGAAACTTTGTCATGCAATCTGAACCTGCCTTTTGCGGCCTCGGCTCCCTTGCCATGGTCTTGAATGCCCTCGCCGTTGACCCCGGAAAACGATGGAAAGGTGTCTGGAGATGGTATTCAGACGACATGCTGGAATGCTGTGCTCCCTTGACTCAAATCCGTCAGAAAGGCATGACGTTTCGGGAATTGGCATGTTTGGCTCGATGCAATGGGTTGCGGGTAGTTGCAAAACGGGCCGACCAAGTCTCTCGTGAAGAATTTTTGAATGATTTACGAACAGTCACGGCCTCTGAAGACACGCACATGGTCGTGTCGTTTTCTCGGGCAACGCTCTCGCAAACCGGGGATGGCCATTTCAGTCCGATTGGCGCCTACCATCCAGAAAAGAACCAAGCTCTTGTCCTCGATACGGCTCGCTTCAAATACCCTTCTTATTTTTGCGACGCCAACCTCTTGTATGAGGCCATGCAACCGATTGACAAAGAAACAGGATTACCTCGCGGCTATTTTATCCTCACCAAAGGGGAAAGTCAACCAATATCTCTTTTGAAGCTCCATCAAAATATTGATTGGCCGCGATTAAATCGACTCTTCTGTCACGATCTTCCTCAATCGTTTTCGCTAATGGAGCACCTCGAACCCTCTGATATTATCCAACACATTCTCTCTTCCCTTCCCGCGGACAATGGCTTCCTCATTTCCCTCCAACACCCCGGTATTGACCTTGCCGGTCCATCCGACGAACTCGCCACCACCCACGCTGTGCAAATCCAACGACTTCTCACTGAAACTGTGGCGCATCCCATGTTCACCCTTGTGAAACGGGCTGTAGAATCATCCCATCTTGCTTCTCACTCACACACGGATGGGTCACTGGCACTCGCGACCATCCTCCTTCTCGCTGCCCCCCGCGAGCTCTTTGTAACACTTTCTCCCAAATGTGTGAATCAACTCTCTGCGGCAAGGGACGTAAAGTCCATGACACCACTCGTAAGGTCTGAAGTCGAACGGATTACAGAGCAGTTGGAGGTTATGCTGAATCGGAATTGCCAATGTGGGAAGCGGGGCATGTGTGGCATCCACAACGTCTGATTTCAACGTAGGAGATGCGTAACCGTTTGCAGGAGCGGATTTTAGGTGTATATAAATTACTTATTATTTTTATTTTATTGAATATGAAATATGATGCATTGATTTTATCATTCGCTTGTAGCCTTTCTATATTGTTTCGTAATAATCTGGCATCGTTGCATCCAAAGTTATTCTGTGGAATTTGTATGAGAAAGTGTGGGCTGCACATCTGAAAGTGCATAAATCATGGCGACAGGATCAATCATCCTGATTTGTTGACCGTTTTGCGTGCTATGCGCAGTTGGGTTTTGGCATCCTCTACTGCGGCGCCCATATCCCATGGATACAAGAAAGAGTCCATATCAGATGAACTCCTCGCAGATAATGGGATATTCTCTGATACATTGTACAGCAGGTTTGTTGTTTGTCCAGCCCATCAGTTTCCCCATCCCACCCCCTCCCTGATCACATAACGTAGTTTGCCTTTGGAATATATCCTCCATTTTGGATATTCTGTAGACCTCAATGCGTCTCGTTCGTTGGTATGCAGAGTTTCACTCTCTCTCCACATCCCCACCCACGAGCATCCCTAACCGACTAAGGCACCGTAACTAATCGTCAAGATCAGGTTTTATACCCGGGTGGCATCACGCCGGACTTGCTGACACATCAAATCCGATCAGCCAAGCCACACTGGAAGAAGGTCAAGTTGAAAGTCCTTTTGCAAGAGGTGCGTTGAGTTCAGATCCCGCTGATGGGAAGAAAACAGTGAAGAATGCAAGTTTCCATACAATTAAAGACAAAAGTGCATTTGGAAGAAAAGTCATTTTAATCACTCGAAATACGAACGGGGACTTGGGACGAGCCAATGCTGGGTTTAAATCTCACTCATTGCATAGTACTGTCTCCTGGGTGAAGACAGGATGACAGAGGCAACGCACCTTCTTTGGGTAAGATGGATTGACATTTATCACTCACACACCACATGCATTCCACGTTAAATAGCAAAAGAATTCCACTGGGGAGATAGTATGATGAATGCTGGCTGATTGGTTGGAGAGTTTTCGACGCATGTTTTTGTCCATACGTCACATTTATCAGATCATTCTATTTGCTTGCACCCAGTCCCAACTATCTAAATTACCCTTTCCATCAACTGATCGCTACTACCTTCGGATTGCGTTCAAAGTCAAGCCGTTCCACGCTAAAGCGTTTTGGTTTATTTTTTTTTCCAAAGCGTTGATGCATACCACTGACTTCAGATACGAAATGAAAACTGGGTTAAATACATATTGGGCTCAAACGATTCCCTCCAAACCGGAGGAGTGGATATGCTTGTTGTAATGAAGATGAAAGTAAGCTTCAAAAGAGTACTGGTGTACTAGTTTACAGTGCCGATCTAAACAGGACTTTGCATGGGGAGTTTTCGTTTAGCTTTTGCTTGCGAGTTGACATACTATGCGCAGACTCCTTATCGTAGCAAATCATCCCATAACATGGTCGCGACATGATGCTCAAAAGTGTATCTATATGGAGGAGTCGAGTGTCATCACTTCTAGAGACTGATGACCCGACATTGTAGCAAACCCTGGCCCAGAAAATCGATTCTTCCAAGTCAAACTCCGTATGGCTAGACAACTCATATACCCACATGTTCCAACTTTCCTCAAGGATGACATTCGGTACGGAGATAAAAAGCGACCGGTAGACCGGTGTTCTTGTTTGCTGGGGCAGACACACGGTATAGCGATGCGCAGCGCAAGACTGTGTGACACACCACAGAAGGTGATGATGTGCAGTTCCAAACAAATGTGAAGATTAGACTTGGTGCATTGCAACACAAAGACCGAGCGCGGCACTCCATAAACTATCCCGACAAAGTCAGATTATCTGTCTTCTGCACCACTTGTCGGGTTCTGTCCTTCCATGGTATCAAATGAGCCGCAGCCCTCCGCCTTGCAGGACTTGGGCTTCCATCATACTTGTCACTTGACATACCACTGAAGGAACCAGCAAAGCTCCAATCAGCAACGGAGTGGGCCGGGGGAGGAGGTACTCCTTGCGCTTCCTGCACTGTTACGATCCGTCATGATCCAATGGAGGAGATTTTTGGGATTTCGGACTTGCTTACTTCACAGCCGTCCAAGCCACGCGCGTCTGCCCACGGCGAAAGAACCCCATTTTGAACTCCATCGCTCTGGACGTTATGACCACCGACGCAGACCTATCTCGTATCCGCCACCTACGTTCTGAAACCCGTCGACTGGTCCGCACCCTCCAGGACGCGAAACGGGACGTGGGGTGGGAGGATGAGCTGGACGTACCCATAACGGTGGGGATAGACTGGGCAACCCAACAACCCAAAGACCGGTGTGCTCATTCTTCTTTATGGTTTAGACGGCAACTTCCTCTAGAGCCCCTTCTCGTACAAAGATTCGTCAGCTCAAGAGTCGGCCGTCCAAGCCGCATCCACCGTCACGTTCGTCGCCGATCCGTTACAAGTCCACGTCCCCTCTCGCCCGCGTAAAAGCTAAAGTGGAGCAGAGGAAACAAGATGTATCTACTCTGAACGCATTTTGGAAAACCCTTATTTGGTGATAATAACTTTTTGGATCCAAGGTCTTGCAAGTGCTTTCCCAAACCGATGAGTTTTTTGATGAATTGCAACAGTATCGAAGTTGTTATCCTAGTCTATTTTTCGGGGACTCTGCGTATGTTTTACTTTCCACTTTTTGAACAGTGATCTATTTTCAATTTTTTAATCGAAACAATAAACAGGCCAGAACCTACTCCAAGCATCCGAAAACAAGAGCCACCACCTGATGCTCCATCTCCACCCGATCCGCGTTATTATTGTAAGGTTCCTTCTCCAGTATCTAAAGACGTAGTAAAGACTCACCTCATGGACAGACACGGGCGTATTCAAGATCAATGATCGTCTCTTTCCTGAACCTTTTCCTTACCCCTTTCTGGAAGCTGAAGGAGTGGAATCCATGTTAGAGGATGAACCGCCGGTCAAGTATGTTAATGAGCTGTGTGATATATGGTAGTGAGACTCTATTGACCATTTGTGTTTTAGAGTGAGTATACCCCACTCGGTTATCACGCCCGTCCCAAAACAGTATAAACCGCATAGAAGACGATCGTTTGATCCGGGCGACTCTATGGACCTATCCATGGTACGTTCCCTAAAGTGTTCCCTTGACTGACGCACACTCACACCGCCACAGCACCTCCTCCTCAGCTCCGCTATCACACATACACAACCCTCAACCTCAAACACTCCTCGATCCTGTCCTCCTCGTCATTCAAAAGCACCAATACGTCTCCAGAGTGCGCGTCGGTGGCAAGGAGGCGGAGCCCAATGTACTCTGTTCCTTCCGCGGGTAGGATCAGATGGGGGGATTTGAAAGTAAGGAGGTGGGGTGTTGGGGTGTGGAGGTGGAAGGTTTTGGGAGTTGGGTATGGATTCGTGTAGCTTATTCGCTGCATAGGGTGCGTTAGTATGGTTTTTATTTATTGCTGGGAACGTGCACATGGGAGATACCTTGTTGAGCGATGTACCCTTGGGTACCGTAATGTCAAACGATTTAGTAATGGGTGGGTATTTGATGTGCGGGATGAGGAGCCAAGATGAGACGAGTGCATGGGTATCCGTGTCTTGGTTGAAACGGAACAATGAGATATCATATTTAATAAAACGAACAACCAATTGCCACTCACCAACAACATTCAAGACCACATTCCCCACATCCACTCTTTTCGGTCTAACAATCAGCGGCACCTCACATAATCCCCCAGCTGGCACCACAACCCTCTCAACCCCAACTGCCACATCCCCTCCACCAACCGCACAATGAACTCGCCTCGCCATGGGCCCCCCTCTTAGTACCACCGCGGCGGAGTCCGTTTGCCCGAGAGTGCAACTCAGGTCGAGGCGGTGAAGACTGTGGACTGTGACGCGGTGGATGTCAAAAAGGAGGGTATGGTAGGGGTCGCTGTAAAAGAGGAAATGGAGGGATGTGGTATGCGGGGCAGGTGGAGGCCGGTATTTGAATGTTAGGTTATAAGCATTGGTGTTCTACCAACACATATGGTTAAATGTTACGGTCCTTTGTAAACAATCACACAATACATACCTTTTCTTCATCAACACTACAAACCACTTCCGCAACCGCACACCTCACATACACCTTCCGTCCCTCCACGAACTTGACATGTCGTCCGACCTCCACCCGCATGGAATGCACCAGCTGCTCCTTCTCCGGTACAAACAACCGAACATGGTTGGAGACTTTATAAGGTACAAGCTGCGCATGGAGTGCCAATTTCGATACAGTGCGCCCGTCACTCGTGATGACCAGAGATGGCTGATGGGTGGATGAGCAGGGTGGTGATGCCCAAAAGTACGTATCATCCACGGACGCATCCTCCCATCCCGCATCAAATGACTGATAAATAACCGGAAGCGTCACTTCCTCCCCTTTTTCCAAAAACACTTTGTCGCCCCCCATCACAGAGCCACCCCGCAATCCATAAACCCCTCTCAAAAACGACCATTCCTCCTCCCGGGCAACTCTGAATCCCTCTGATACCGC